TATTCCATCAATTCCTGGGGCTTTATTTTTTGCCAAATCCTTCAGAGAAGCTTGCACTTCCTCCTTTATCACCATTGCCTCTTGATCATATGTTGTTGTTTTTTTAATTCTTCTGTGTCAGCCAATTCTTTTTGGTACAGTGACTCTTATACTCCTTCTATCTTCTTTTAATGCTTCCTGAATCACTCAATATTCTGCCCAAAGCATCCTTAGGCATTACAACTCGAGGCTTGAATTTGAAATGAGGCTGGGGATAGAATGGTAGAATTCTGTGCAATCAATTATTTATTCATAGCAAATACAATTTTTAATAAAATACATTTTATAAGAAACATAAACATAGGCTACATATGGATTTCATCTGATGGGATGCACAGGAATCAGATTACATCTGTGGAACAAATCATTGGAGAAGTTCAATATCAGCAGTGAAAACTAGGCCAGGCATTGATTGTGCAACAGACCATCAACTGCTCATATGCACATTCAAATTAAAGCTAAAGGAGGTTATATCATATCCACAGGAATAAAAATTTGACCTTGAGTCCATCCCCCATGAATTTAAAAACCAACTCAGGAATAGATTTAAGGTCTTGAACACTAATGAACGAAGACCAGATAAACTGTGGGAAGATATCAAGAATATTTTTCATGAAGAATGCAAGAAGTCATTACATGAAGAAATGCTCAAAATCCCTAGCTCTAAGAGAGATGCAAATCAAAACAGCTATGAGATATCTTCTCAACCCAGTGAGAATAGCAAAATTTAACAGAACAGCAAACAACAAATGCTGGCGAGATTGCAGAGAAACTGGAACCCTTATTCACTTTTGATGGGAGTGTAAAATGGTACTGCCACTATAAAAGGCTATACACCAAAGAAACCGTAACTGCCACCCAAGCAGATATATACACACCCATGTTTATTGTGGCTTTGTTCACAATAGCAAAGAGAAACAACCTAAGTGCCCATCACCAAATGAATGGATAGCGAAGCTGTGGTATATTCAGGCTGCATTGAAAAACAAGGAACTCATGAAATATTATACAGAATGGGTGACCCTGGAGGACATTATGCTGAGTGAGATATCTCAGTCACAAAAGGATAAATACTGAATAGTGCCACTGTTGTAAAACGGGACTGACATCAGGGTTGGGGGGAGACTAAGAAAAGATGGGATAAATTATGTATACTGTGTAGAAACAGATGAGGGAGAGAACTGTTTAAAAGGGATATGGGATCAGATATTGTTACGACTAGAGTCCAGAATGAAGGCTGCATAGTGGAGTGGACTTGGGGAAAGGGGTTGTGTAACAATTGAAGAATTTTTCTTTTACTTTTCAAAGAGAAGAACAAACTGGGGACGGGGAGAGGTGGGCATG